ACCATCATCATCATCATCATCATCATCATCATCATCATCATCATCATCATCATCATCATCATCATCATCATCATCATCCTGGCACCTTACGCGAAGGGCACACTGTCACTTGGTGTCGACGCATGGGCGTTGGGGACAAGCAGGCGGCCATTTTCTTGCTGTGGTGGAGGGTTCAGCCCCCCCGCACCATGGGTCCCTTGCCCTCCTGTGTCCAGATAGCTGTCCCGCAGTATTAGGGTCGGCGCAGCGGGGTCCGCAAAATCAGGACCTGCATCGTCTCCAGAGGCGGGTCACCGAAGGCGGTACACCACCACGGGGAAGGTGGCCGCAAGTGGGCCGGCGTCAAGCTCTTGTCCTATCCCAGCGCACTTTTTCGTCTTGGTCCACCCTTCGGGGACGACTGCCGTTGTCGTTCGGCATGCTCCTACATACTCCTCCTCCTCCTCCTCCTCCTCCTCCTCCTCCTCCTCCTCCTCCCTCCTCCTCCTCCTCCTCCTCCTCCTCCTCCTCCCTCCTCTCTCCTCCTCCTCTCCTCCTCCTCCTCCTCCTCTCCTCCTCCTCCCCTCCTCCTCCTCCCCTCCTCCTCCCTCCTCCTCCTCCTCCTCCTCCTCCCTCCTCCTCCTCCTCCCTCCTCCTCCCTCCTCCTCCTCCCCCTCCTCCTCCCTCCCCCCCTTCTTCACCTCCGAAACCGCAGGCCTCCTCCTTGGAGCCCTGGCCTGACCGCTCTCGCGGCTTGTACGCGAGGACCTCAAGCGCGTCGCTGGCGAGGAGCAGCTGGCAGCACTCTCCTGCCGTCGCCTCGCTTCCCTCCTACTGGCCCAAACGTGCAACGTCCTGAAAGAAAAAGCCAGGGCGAAGGAGATGTCCCTAAACTTTCGGCCCCTGGAGGCATTCACCAGGTCCCGGGACCGTCAAAGACGACTTGGCGATGAGAGGCCGGCCCTGGGGAAGGGGTGGGACTTCGTGGGATTGCGTGTAGAGACAGTGAGGACATCGCGTGTCTGGGGATGTCTTGCTTCTGGCCCCCCCTTCTTGGGTGCACTGCGACGCCGACCCGCAGCCGTTGCCAGGGTTGCCCCCGCAGCCAGGCCGCGTCCAGCCACCCGCCGCAGCCTCGCTGCGCGAGTGCGCCCCGCGCGTCCCCCCCCCTCTGCGGTCGCCTCCTCTACTTCCCATTTTGCACGCGGACTAATTCGCGACTCCGTGCCCCGGTTTCGCTCGGACGCGCGCGCGGATTGCCTCTGCCGCGCTGCGACGTAAAAAGTGTTCAGGGGTGTTTCTCTGACTCTCCAGTTGGCCCCCCTTCCCCTAAGCCCTAAGCTCCCGCGTGCGGCACAGCAGCCAGTTCGGGCGCGTCGCGATCGTGTCCACCCGTCCGGTCTCGAACGGGCTTGCGGTGGCGGTATGTCTCCGAGGTGCATGATGGCGGAAAGCATACACCCGATAACCTGTCGGCGAGGGAGGCAGGGGACCAACTTCACCCTCCACGCAGGCGTCGTTCTGGTCCGAAGCTCCCGTCGAACGGTTGCGAGGCAACCGCTTATTTTCCACACCGAACAACTTCAGCCGCGAGCCCAGAACAGGCAGCGGTGATCCCCTTTCCGTCGACCAAGATCCCCGAGACCCAGCAAGGGCGTCCGATGGCGACGAGTCTCGCTTTGGCTGCCGACAGCTCAGCAAGAGGCTACGGGCCCCGACCAACCGCAAGCGGTGAAAGAGGGCCCATGATGACGACACTGACATCGACACCTGGCATGATGAGACATGCGATATGTCGATAAACGATAAGGTCGACCAGCGACAACGTCAAAAAGCTGAATCACGGTATCTATTGTCGCCATGCCATTAACAAATACGAGAAAGAGGCCAAGCTACATGGCTTCGCCATAGACACTCTATGTACCTACGTCCTCGTACCTGCTTTGTTCGACACGGTCATGGGCACATGGTTCATGTGCTTGGAACGCCACGGCAAGTTCCACGCCAACTCCCAAGATTTGTCGCCACTGCTGCTGAGTATGAAAACTGCCATTGGCCCCGCGGAGCATGTGTCTGGCAAGTTGGTTTGAACGGTCGCATCCATGACCAAGCCCACCCGATTCCAGGCCCAGCACCAGCCGCAGATGATAAACATGTGCCTCTACGCGGCCCCACAACATCGGAAACGGGATCACCATTTGCACAGCCATACTATCGCAGCACCAGGTACGACCAACGGCCACACACTTACACAGTTGTGGATCAGTGGCAATTCCGAGCACTTCAGGACTGAGGACAGCATTACGATGGCCGTGGTACAGCTCCACAGCGCCATACGTGCGTGGACGTTCACGGCCAGATTACCCAGCTACGCAGAAGCTATCTGTTACCCGGACCTCATTCACAGTTGCCTTGTATGGGAACCCTGCAGATGATGACATTGGCATTGGGACTAAATTCGCGCAAGAAAAGTTATTCGGCCACTTGCGTGAAGATCACAGTTTCCTCGACATTGGCGAGCCCAGCACCATCCCGTCTCGGATCCTACGAGCGAAGGCGATCCAGCTTGTCGAGGAGGAGACACGGTGGCGATTGCAATTGGGCTTCGAGGGCCTTCAACATGCAGTTGGGTTCCTTCGTGCAGCGTTCCGACGAGCTTGCGAGAACGAGAGGCGCATAGGCTCCGTTGGCGCGTTCCTGCTCTACGCACGTTGCATACCTGACTTCGTGAGGTTCCTACCGGCAAGAAGTTCCAACCAGCTCGAGTCACATGACACCAGTAGTTGTTGGACCAAGCGAGCCCATGATGTAATCAAATGTTCAACGTGGCGCCAGGCTGGTCGGCCCGTGCGGGCGAGATCATGAATACGTGCGACGGTGTACAGGCACAAGAAATATCGTTATATGTGCCCTTCTCGCCCTCCTGTTGCAGGACGCCCCCTGTCGCGCTTCCAGACTGTTTCCAGGAAAGTCTGGATCAGCAGTAGTTCCTAGGGCCCTGCATGCCACGACTGTTTGATACAATGGGTAGTTTGCCACTGTACTTCTTGAGTGGTTCTAGTGACAGCTCGCTCTTCCCGGGATTGCCTCCACGTCATGGGCCGTTATGGATTCCCATAGTGTAGGTTTTTGGTCGGCCAGCATGACGTGGCAGCTCAGGATTACAGTTCAGAACCGTATTTGTTGCTGCAGCGCCTCAGACAATCACAGTGTAGTGGTTAATGAAACTAGTCCCCGAACTTGTCTATCCAGTTAGGGGCCTAAGCCGTCGATGATGCCAGACGCATGTGGCGTTGCGAAATTGTATACGGTTTCAGTCACACACACACACGTTCCACAGACATTTGCAGTGCAGGAGACAATCCAAACAGTGCCCAAACCTGTCTGGGGCTTCATACACGATGATCGTCACAACCCTATGTTTACTCGTTGCACGTCTCTCTGCTTGCAGATGTTCTCCTGGCAGATGAGAATGTCGCAGAATCAGGGTAGCCCTTCCTTCGGCACGGCCACATATTTGGGGTAGTAGAGCAGTGGGGGTTGAGTTGCACACGGTCGCCATGGTGGGCACATCGGTTTCATCATGACTCAGAGTCCCCATCCCCGCTTTTCCGATTCCCCGCCCAGGCGCCCCCCCGCGTGAGGGGAGACCTCTTCGCCCAGCTCGCCGCCGAACGGGGCCCGCGCAGCGGTGCTGCTGGGGCCCTGGGCCCGCAGTGGTGGTCCTTCTCCTCCTCTGGGGCCCGCCGTGGTGCCCACCCGCCTGCTCGCCCGCAAGTGTCACTGCCGCGCCGCCGTCACGCCAGGCTTCCTTGCTGGGCGGCGCCCCCGCCAAGGCGACCGCCGCCCCGCACGGCCGGCAGAGCGGGGCCGCGGCCGCCTCTCGACGGCGGCGGCGACTGCTACGAAGGCGACGACGGCGACAACGGCGGCGGCGGCGCTGTCGACGGCGGCGGCGGCGACGACGAAGGCGGCGGCGATGACCACGGCGGCGGCGACAACGGCGGCGGCGGCGGTCACTCGGCCGCGTCCGCGCGACCTTACCCTGCGGAAGCGCAAACACGGATTGAGGCGCCAGGCCCGTGGATATCTTGAAGTCATGTTAGTTTGCGCCCTAAGATTCCCAGGAGGACCCCACGACCTCTGGAGCACCCCTCACAAGGCCTAGAAGGCCACAGGGGTTCCAGAATGGCGCGAAAAGTTGGGAACACCTTCGGCCAGGTAGTTTTTGGGGTGTGAAGCCCTCTTGGGCGTGTCTGTGGGGAGTGTTTGGGGAGTCTCTTGGGGTGTCTTTGGGGCCTCCTGGGCTGTCCCAGGAGCCCCTTTGTGCCGCCTTCGAACCTTATTGGAGGCCTACTGGGAACGCTGTTGGGTATCTTGAAGGCCTGGTGGGCGGGCACGAGTTCCAGGAGGGGATCAGCAGCAGCCGCGCAGGAGTAGCAGGAGGAGAGGAGGGCACATGCAGGAAGAAGACGACACATGGATGACGGAGGTTTCGGCTACGTTCGTTTGTCTCATCATCGTGCCCGCATCGCCGCCGCGAGAGTGTCTTCGCCTACATTCATGCGTGCAGCATACTGCTCAGGAAGTGCCAGGTCTTTCCGGGATGGCGTCTATCTCGGTAACCACATGTATCCTCTTGTTCCTAGCGGCGCACCGTGCGGCCGGCAGAATGGGGCACGTTCACATGTCCACAGATTGGGACGTGGTGTTGAACGCGTCGGGCTCCCACCAGGGAAGCATTGCTGGCAGCACTCCTGGCTTCCTTGGCAATCGATCCGTGCCGCCTGTGGGCGAGACGGTGCTTGAGCCCGGAACGGCGTTCAAGGCCGACCTCCAAATGGCGGTCGCGATTTTTTGCGTCCCATCGATCCTATACTTATTGGCCACGGACATGTTGAGGCAACCAAGTCTGGCTGTGATCTGTTTCGTCTGTGCTGTGTACATGGTTTCCAGCCTGGCAATGAACGTTCTCAACAAAAGGGCGGCGAAGGCGTTCGAGGGTACCTGTCTTCTGGTCATCATACAGATGCTGGTGTCTGTTGTCGTAATCGTTTGTATGGAACGTGACAAGTTGAGGCTGGACAAGTGGGCGGACTTCCTACGGTGGCTCATCGTGCCGTTCGCTTTTGCCGGCATGCTCGGCACATCCATGTTCGCATTCAAGGAGGCAAGTTTGACGACGATCTTGATTATAAGGAACATTTTACCGATCTTGAGCTTCGGGTTCGAGAAGGCTCTGTTCAACCAGCCAGACTCAATGTGCTGGAAAGTGGTCATGTCGTTGGCGGTGACTTTGATGGGCAGCGTGCTCTACGGATTCGCCGACATATCCGCCACAAACCTTGGCAAGGTCCTCATCCTGGCGAATTGCCTCTTCACCATCCTGGACCGGCTTGTGCAGGCCCACCTGCTCAGGGGAAGCAGTGATTTCAGCATGAGCATTCCAATGTGCATGCTTGTCAACAACTCTTTAGGGATAGTCCCCATGCTCGTGCTTGCAGTGCTGAAGGGCGAGACCACAGGCTGGGGCCACGCCCTCGCGTCTGCAGACAAGAACACCTGGTTCCTGGTGGCGATGTCAGGGCTGTGCGGCGCGTCCCTGAGTTACGTGGGACTTCGCACACAGCAGCTCGTTTCAGGTACCACCGTGCTCGTGGTGCAGAACTGCAACAAGCTGCTGATCATCTCGATCGGCGTGGGCCAATTCCACGAGAGCATGACTCCAGTTTCGCTTATAGGCTGCGTCGTCTCCCTCCTGGGATGCTTTGCCTACGGCTACCTGCGTTTGCCTGTTGAGGCCAGGTCGAATGGCCAGTCCAAGGAAGAGGCAGGCAGGAACGAGCTGACAGCGGCAACGAGGTCGGCCAAGGTGTGAGCCGTGCGCCGAATTTGCTGACACCGATACGCTAGGAGAATGTGAGGGAAGCATCGCGTGCAGATCAAGCAAGTGGAGAGGGAATACGCAAGCAGTTCCAATCATGCTTCTGACATATATATATACATACAATCAAACAAAACATATGCATGCGTGCGTGTGTGTGTGTGTGATTAAGGCGGGTGGTTGCCTTACTTGTAGGCTTACCGTCGATACGGTGACTCCTGACTTGTAAGGTTGGATCGATTTGGTTTGGCCCAGCTTCACACTTATCAACAGAGGTTCGCAGTTGAGTTGGCACAGCAGCCCAGTGGAGCCAGCATCGTTTACTTTTCGTTCTGTCGCAGTGTCAGCGTCGCCGATGTGAATATTATTTCATAGTTGGTGTCATCCAAGGCGTTGCCCGCGTAACTCAGCCAGGCCTGCCTGACTTAGAGTACGTTGGTGTGGCTGATCTTCAACGTCAGATGACAGCTAGTTTTAGACATTGAGTACCCCAGAATACATATGTGTGTGTGCATGAGGGTGTAGACAGAGCCGTGTGCCTAGCTGCCTAAGTTTTGCAGGGTCCGGATTGGCCTTTATACGCATTGCAATAGTTTAGCCAAACAGCATTTGGTTTGCACATTTGCTTCAACTCTGACCCCTATCGTGGCTAAGATTTGACATTCAGCAGCATATTGTGTTACTCTAGGTCGTCGCGGCGCGAGTTGGCATACGAATAAGCCTGTAAGATCACCGGCATCGCCGATACACATGCAGTTTCAGATTTTTGCTGCTCATATCCATGTGTTGGTGTACGCTCTACACGGGGACAGCCTGGCTGACACGGCATCCTTGGCATGCCGTTTGGTGTTCGCCGTGCTTCTACGCTCGTGGTCGACTTGGCTTCAGCTCAGCTTCGGCTGGCCTGGCGCAGCACGCCGAGGCACCGCCGCCCCTCCCTTCCGGGAAGCCCACGTGTGTGTGCGTGGCGGATAGCTTGGCCAGGGAACCGATGCAGCTCGGTGATGGCGGCCTCTGGAAGCGCTCGTGCGATGCCTGGAGGAGCGTACGGAAGCCTCTGGAGGCTTGTCTGACACCCTGCCTGTCTGGAAGTCCGATCTGGCCAGCTGGTGGGATCCTCCGAGGAAACACAGGGGAAGTGATGTCCGCTGGAGCCCCTCGGGAGGGGGGGGGGGAGAGGGGCTGCGAGGCTTTCCACGGACTTTAGGGAGGTCCTTCGGGCCGCCCTGGCGGCCTCTGAGACCATTTGGCGCATTCCGGAAAGAGCATCGTCTTCGGCCTCAGCTGCCTCGATGCGCCCATGTCGCCATGTAACACGCACCGTGCTCAAATCGGCCGCTTCCATCCGTTGCGTGTTGGCTCCACGTGTTGGCCCACGCTTTGGCGAACGTATCGCGCCCGACATACGTTGCCAGACGAAGTGCTGGGCTCCGCATCAATGCGCTGCGTGCTGCGTGCTGCGCATCGGGGCAGCGACGTCCTCGGCGCAGCCTCGCTGCCGGCGCAGAGGCTGGCAGAGGCAGAACGTCGGCGGGCCCGCCACGACGGAGGGCGGCGGAGGTATGAAGAGCGAGACGTCCTCGGTTGGGGGCGCCCAGCGTCTGCCATTTGGGGCTCCCCCTACTTCGGGAGCCTTG